CCATTGGCAAGCTGTGATTGTTGAATATTTTTACACCAGCTTGAGGGGGAGTGTTGAATATATAAATTAGAGTACATAAAATCTTTTTATTTTTAGTATTATATATATAATCTGTGATTGTATCAATCACTTATTTAGTATTGTTTCCTTACTTATATCATTTTCTAAATTGTATCATGAATCTATTATATATACGTGGCATCTACCTCATTTATGAGTAAGCCAAATAATTCTTTTCATTCTTTTTTTTTTACTATAATATAATATAATTTGTTTTGAAGAAAAAAAAGAAGTAGACAGTGAGGTATACAACGAACAACTTCATTATCCAAAAAGTACTCTTGTCATGTACCCAAAAAAAAAATGGTTATTAAAAAACTGCTAACTGTCTCTACTTTTTTTCTTAGGATCCTTCACTTCTTTGAACCTCTACCACCATTGCTCCTTTCCTCATTTTTATTTGAACCCCTACCATAATCTCAAATATACTCTCACCCCAACATTTTGTCTCTCTTCTCTCACTTCACCGGTCCCTCAACCATGACCCACTCTGGCCGACGACCTCCCCCGCCATCACAGCCCCTGTCGGTAGCTTTGTCGTCCTTGCCCACTCATCCCTAGACCAGACCCACTGCCACCACCTCTCACACACCCACCATCTTACACCAACCCCCCATCACTGTTGCTCTCCCTCTTAGTCATTCATCAATGTTGCCACCCACAAGACAACCCTAGAGCCCTCCCCCACCATGCTCATGTTTGATTTTTCTTCATTTGAAATCATCTTGCCTAGTTCAAAAAATTAGTACCAAACAAATAGTAGAGGTTCGGGTGTAGACTATACCGAACAAATGGTGGTAGTTCGGTTAAAGACCGTCAAACAAATGGTGGTGGTCCAAACCTGAACTACCAAACCAAATGAAAAAAGAGAATTTGGTGCAAACGCAAGCAAGTTTAGCCCAGTTTTGAGGATCGTCTTTGAGCATGAAGACAATGTTAAGAACAACGTCCTCGAAGAGCTTTGAAAACACCATATCAATCATTTTTGTTACAAATAGAGAAATGAATATTGATACAATTTTTTGATTGTTTTATTTTTCTAATCATCCTCATCATCATGTTCTTCTTCTTCTTCTTCTCTCTCTCTCTCTCTTAATGGTAGTGGTAAGGAGGCTACAAAAGTGGTTTTTGGTCTTAACGGGGAGACATCAGAATGAGTAATGGTTGCAGTGACTAGGAGATGTTGGATGGTGGTCAGAGATGGTGGTGACTGCCAGAGGTAGTGGGAGATGAGATTAGGGTTAGGGTTTGGGTTTGGAAAATTAGAATTCGAAGATTATGAGTAAGGGTAAAAATGAAATTTTATATTTGGACAAAATTAGAATTAAAAAAAAATGAAAGAGGTAGGGGTTCAAAGTAGAAATGTAAGAATATTTAGCTGCCTTCTATAAAAAACTATCAAATTTAAGAAGAGGTGAAAACACTATTTTGAGAAGTTGTTAAATGAGGAACATGAAGGTAGGTCAAAAGGGGAGGAACTAGGTAGTAATAAGGAAAGCCAAGACTATATGTTCTATCATAGGATTAGGGACTTTGAAGTAAAGTTTGCACTTAAGAAGATAAAATTGAATAAAGGTTTAGGACCTAACGATATACCTATTGAAGCATGAAAAAGTTAGGGTAAGAAGGGGGTTGTTTGGTTGACTAGGTTATTTAGCAAGATTTGGTTGGCTAGGAAAATGCCAGAGGAGTGGAGGAAGAGTATTTTAGTGTCAATATATAAGAATAAATGAGATGTTCAGAATTGCAACAACTATAGAGGAATCAAGTTAATGTGTTACACAATGAAAGTGTGGGAGAGAGTAATAGAATGTCGATTACGAGATATAACAGAAGTATCAAAGAATCAATTTGGGTTTATGCCTTGTAGGTCAACAATGAAAATGATCTATCTTTTGAGGAGAGTAATAGAAAAGTATAAAGAAAAGAAAAGAGACATTGATATGGTTTTTATCGATCTTGAGAAAGCATATGATAGAGTAGCTCGGGATATAATCTGGTAGGTGTTAAAGAAGAAAGTTGTGATAAAAGGTTACATTGACGTGATTAGGGATATATATGGAAATATGGTGACCACTATTAGATTGCATGTTAAAGAGACGAATGAACTTCCAATTTCTGTAGGATTACACCAAGGATCAACCTTAAATCCTTATCTTTTTGCTTTACTTATGGATGACTTGACGTGCGATATTCAGGGTGATGTGCCATGGTGTATTTTTTTGCAGATGATATCATATTAGTGGATAAGACTATAAAAAGAGTTAACACTTAGGAATGGCAACGGGCCGGGGCAGGGCCAGGGATCACACTCCCCGTCCCCGATTCTCAAAGCTACAAAATTCCCCGTCCCCGGCCCCGATCCCCGGCGAGGAACCCATCACCCCCCGGCCCCGATCCCCGACGGGGAACCTGTCACTGCCCCTGCACCTGCCCCCCAACGGGGATCGGGTTTCCCCGACCCCGAAAAATCCCCATAACTCTCTCCTCTCTCTATTTAGCTTATCATCATCAACAACATCATTTTCATCAACAAAAACATCAATAACAAAAAAAAAAAAATAGAGACAGATCTGCCATGGCAGAGGGAGGAGGAGGCAATCAATTCTGCCCATTCTAATCGAGATCTTCTCAGATCTGACGGTGGCCTGGCAGAAGAGGAGCCGACGGAGGAGGGGGCCGCGAGAGGCGACGGAGGTGGAGGAAGAAGCGACGGAGGAGGAGGCGGCAGTGGCCTGGATGAGGAGGAGGCGACGAGAGGAGAAGTCAATTGCGTCTGTAGAGAGAAGAGAGAGAGTGAAAGAAGAAAAGAGAAAGAGAGAGTGTGTCAGAGAGAGATAGATTAGAGGTATAATAGAAGGAGGGGGTTTATATATATAAATAGATAGAGGGGTATTATGGTAATTTTATTTCAAGGAGAAACGGGACCGGGGATGGGCCGGATCCGGGGTTGTGAAAATGATCCTCGTCCCCGGCCCGAATCTGATCGGGGATTCAATTTTAAATACCATCCCCGGCCCGTCGAGGGTATTTTTTGAGAAAAAACCACTCTTATCAAGGACGGGGGGTCGGGTCCCCGTCGGACCGGGTTTAAATTGCCATCTCTATTAACACTAAGTTGGAGATTTGGAGAAAAACACTTGAATCTAAAAGATTTAGGATAAGCAGAACTAAGACAGAATATATAGAGTGTAATTTTAGTAACAATCATAATAGAAATAGAGGAGAAGTGAAGATTGAGAACCAAGAACGACCTAAGAGTGAATATTTTCGTTATTTAGGATCAATTATCACAACGACTGGGGAGATTGGAGCAGATGTGGTCCACAGAATTAAGGCGATGTGGCTTAAGTGGTGGAGTGCATCTAAAGTACTATACGATAAACGAGTACCCATTAGACTAAAAGGGAAGTTTTACAGAACGGCTATTAGACCAGCAATGTTGTATGTGACGAAATCTTGGACAATTAAGAAACAACATGTAGAGAAGATGAATGTTGCTGAGATGAGGATATTAAGGTGGATGTGTTGCAAGATTAGAAAAGACGAAGTTAAGAATGAGTATATTCGAGAATGGGTAGAGTAGTACCAATAGAAGATAAGTTGAGAGAGAATAGACTAGATGGTTTGATTATATACAACGGAGACTAACAGAGACAGTAGTGAAGAGATGCAATACAGTAACGGTAGATGATAGTGTTAGGGGAATGAGTAGATATAGATTGACGTGGATTAGTGTAGTAAATAGAGATATGAATCTTCTTAATTTGACTAACGAAATAGAGCAAGGATCCTCTAGAGTGATTTTTTTCTAAAGTTTCCTAAAGTATTATATTGTGTGGTTGAGATTTACTAGCAAGTCACATCAATTTTTCTGATGTGACTTACCAGTAAATCTCAACCACACAATGTAGTACTCTAGGAAACTTTAGGAAAATTTCACTCTAGAGGATCCTTGGTGAACGAAATAACCTTGGATAGAGTTGAGTGGAGAAGAATGATTCATGCAACCAACTCCATTTAATGAGACTTAAGACTTAGTTTGGTTTGATTTGATTTCTACAATTTCCCATACAAATTGGGGTGACTACAAACATTAAATACTTTCTTAACATGTGCTATTAAGTCATGTTTGTTATTCCCCATTAGTGATAGGACTGGAGTGATGTTAAGGTTAGACTTGTGAAAGCATGTTTGGTTAAAAAAATATATTAGTAAATTATTAGTTCAACCAGATTGACAATCCCCTTATACAATCGGATTAAAAAAGTTGAAGAAGGTATGTGATTAAAAAAATAATGAGGGGATTAAGTGTTATTTTATTATTTTTTTTCCCCAAGTGCTACCTGTTATTTGTATAAAAAAAATTACATTTGTTTTAGAATTTTTTTTAATATAGAAATATTTTTTTTAATTTTATATAAAAATAATTTAGCAATTTCATCACTAATCATCACTCTCACTATCATTAAAACAAACACGTTTTTATTTAATCTCATCGCTAACAATCTTCATATTAACAATTTTTTCACTACCTATCTCCTCACAAATAATTTCATCTAACCTAATCCGTCAAATAAACGTGACTTTAGGGCACATGTTAATAAAGCTCATTATATAGGCTTATTTTAAAAAGTAGTTTTTTTTTAATTTATTAATTTTTAAATATATGTAGAGAGAGAAATGGTAAAAAAAAAATAAAGAAATAATATAATTCAAATAAATCAATAAATTAATATATTAACTTTTTTTCTAATTACTAAAATAGGCTCTCATATCATTGTTGATGGAGAGAACATTTTAATTGGAACTCAAACATTTTTCCATTTTAAAGATTGATGGAGAGAGAGAGAGAGAGAGAGAGAGAGAGATTAGTGTAGTTCTAGTTTGTGTACTTTATTTTGAAAAAAAAGGGTTGAGGGTGCTAATATATATTCCTTGGGCGTTGGTATGGGTTACCATGGGGGAGGGTCGCGCACACACACACAAACAAAGGACAGGTGGATGGTGAAAGGTGAGTGAGTGAGTGTTAGTGTTTGCAGTGATAAAACAGAAAAAGCAGAGAGCTTCATATCTCAATCATCTCCAACACACAAAGCACAAAAAGTTTCTTCTTATCTCCTCCTCCTCCTCCTGTGCGTTACAGATACAACAATTCAAACAGCTCTGGGTAGAACAAGAAGATGATTTTAGCAACACAAATGACAGATTAGAGAGAGAGAGAGAGAGAGAGAAATACTTGGCAGGTAGGTAGGTAGTGAGAAATGGGGGGAGGGGGAGGAGGAGCTTCGTCGAAACTGAAAAGAGCAGCAAGGAAAATTGTACAAACATGCGGGTCTTTCTCACGCAGACAAAACCCTCTTGACGATGATCCCTTTGCCTCCCCTAAACTCACTGTCTGTCTCTCTTCCTTTTATTCCTTTCTTTCTTTCTTTCTTTCTTTCTACTAAAATGCTTGCTTTTTCAATCCGATTAGATTATGTCCAGTTCCAAATTGAAAAATGAATCTACATTGGCACATAGTTGTTTAATTTTATATATTTGTGCTTTCTGTCTTGCAGGTGTCGTCAATTTCACCCACAAATCCTCCTCCAAACTCAGGGATCTCTGCTTCTGCCACCCAACCCCTTTCTTCAACCACTGCTTCCAAGGTATATCAACAACAATTCACGTTTTATATGTACATATCTCTCTCTCTCTCTCTCTCTCTGTTTATAGGGAAACACTATTTATGCACCTTAGAAAAATAACATAATTTTAATTTTTTTAGTCATAATTAAAAAAAAAAATTGTCATAACAACACGAGACATAACGAAAAACTCAAGAGTCATGACTAAAATAATATCATAACGAAAGAAGAAAATTAGTTATAACTAATGAAAGAAATGGCATAATTAGGGTGCATATGGGACACCGTTTGAATGGGGTGCATATTAGAATTTCCAGTGTTTTTATTTATGTATGATTTTAATTCAATTTTCACACAAGCCTTCTCATATCATATGACTAACAAAAATGGATATGGGGGCTAGCCCACTTCACACACTTCGGCAGCTGTTGCATTTATTCCATTTTTTCTGCTCTACTTGCTTCCTTACAGAAAAACGACGCAACAAAGAAAGCAGTGATTATGACTAATTTTACAACTCAATTCTCATCCATAATTTTTTCTTTTAATCCAAAATTGCAAGGATGCGGATTCTCTGCAAAAGTGGTAATCCAGCGGCCTATGGTTTTAAAGTTAATTTACTTTGGTTTTAACTCAAATTGAACGGATTATGTACTTTGCCGACATGTCTTGCTGTGATAAATAGCATAATAAGATCATTACACTAAAATCATGACAAAAAAACTGAGTTATTTTACTAATAATGAGCCAATGACCATTCTAATTTCCCTAGATAATTAATTATTGCCTCTGCTATAAGGCCACACAAGAGTGTGACATGAAAATGAACCTGACTTGCAAGTAAAACAAGTAGGCATGCAGTACAGTTTCCTTAGAAGGATCTTTGTTTCACAAGGACCATAAGACGCCATCCATGTAATGAAAGACCAGACATGCTTTAAATGACCTTTTTCTTTTTTTTTTCTTTTTTTTTAAGGTTTCGATCATGTCTTTGCTTTCGAAAAATGATAAAACAGTCATCCTAGATCACTAAACTAAGCATTTGGCAGCATAAGGGTATTTTCTTTGATCCTGCTCTGTGGTTACTTGAAGCATCTAGAAATCATGCTTTTGTGTACGTTTGTAGTTTTAGCTCTCTGAGACCTTATACTTTCGTTTCTTATGTGGCAGAATTTGTGCGCAATATGTCTTGATCCTCTGAGTTATGGCATAAGCACTAGCCCAGGCCAAGCAATATTCACAGCCCAGTGCTCTCATGCATTCCATTTTGCTTGCATCTCCTCCAACGTCCGCCATGGGAGTGTCACCTGCCCCATTTGCCGTGCTCATTGGACACAGCTGCCTCGGAACTTAAACTCACCTTGTTCCCTCTCTTGCAACCAATCTGACCCCATTCTTCAAATACTTGATGATTCCATTGCCACTTTCCGGGTCCACAGACGGTCCTTCCTACGCTCTGCTCGCTATGATGATGATGACCCAATTGAGCCTGACCACACACCCAATCATCCCCATCTCCATTTCACTATCATACCTGTCCCGCTCACTTATCCCAACTATCTTCACCCATGCTCACATCAATCCTTGCAAGTGACTCGACCAAATTCATGTCATTCCCATGGACTTCTGTCACTACATCACTTGAGCAACTCCTCATCACTATTAGCAACACGTACGGGAGATGCAGGACACCATTTTACCCCAACTGGAAAAACTCCTTTCCTGTGCACCTCCAATGGTAGAGCTTATCTCTCTGTAACAGTAGCACATCAACCAGCAACTGACTTGGTCTTAGTTGCAAGCCCCAATGGACCTCACCTGAGACTTATAAAGCAATCCATGGCTTTAGTGGTTTTCTCGCTTCGACCCATTGATCGTTTGGCCATTGTCACCTACTCATCTTCAGCAGCACGTGTTTTCCCCCTCAAGAGAATGACATCCTATGGGAAGCGAACAGCACTACAAGTCATTGATCGTCTTTTTTATATGGGTCAAGCAGATCCAATTGAAGGGCTCAGGAAAGGGATAAAGATACTTGGTGACCGAGTCCACAAAAATCCACGATTTTGTATTATGCACCTGTCTGACAGTCCAACAAGATCTTACCATCACATTGATATGGAAGCTTCTATTCCAATCCATCGGTTTCATGTAGGATTTGGGTTTGGGACGTCAAATGGGTTTGTCATGCATGAATTTGAAGAGTTCCTCTCAAGAGTATTAGGCGGCGTGATCAAAGAAATTCAGTTGAGGATTGGGGAGGATGCTAGAATTGCGAGGCTTGGAGAACTAAGAGGTGGTGAGGAGAGGAGGATTCCATTAATTTTGGGTGAGTCTGGACATGTTTGTGTGGAATATAGCTACATTGAGGGCGGACCTGATGAATGCACCAGGACGGGGGAAATACTGGTGGGCATAAAGGATGAAAGAGACAGAGACAGAGTTGATGGAACAGAAGATTTCGTTAGTATTGGTGGTGGGAGGACTAGCAGTGTTGAAAGCTGGGATTACCATGACCCTTACAGGGCTAGAAGATGGGCTAAACATTTGCATGGGTATAGGCTCTGAAGCATTCTTCTGCTAAAGGACTACTACAGGTTTGTTTGTACAACATCAAATGAGTATTGGTGGGAGGGAGGACTAGCAGTGCTGAAAGCTGGGATTACCATCTGTTGCTCAGGACAGCAACAGGTTTTCCCATAAACATAACCACCATCTGTACTCTAGAAAGAGGCAAGTGAAATGTGTTCTTATTGAATTTTGTAATTAACCAACACCTAACATTTATAGTCAGCAATTTGAATTATGAAACCAATACTGGTAATGCCATACTTATTTTTCACAGACATACTATTCCATAGTTTTTTGTGTTATATATCAGTCACATTTGCGTTTCATTCTGACTAGGAATTCGGGCTTCAAAGTGAAATGGAACAGCAGAAAACAACTTGCAATTAAAACTAATTGATCTTTAAATTAGAATTGATAATCTTGCAGCTATTGCGCTCAGTTGAACTAGTTCAGAAGCAGCTTCTTCCAGCTTTACGGCTTTTTTAATGTTTCGAGATAACTCGGATGTTCCGGGTGGGTTTTTGCTTCACTTGTTAAGCAGCTTCTTCCAGCTTTATGGGCTTTTTAATGTTACGAGATAACTTGGATGTTCCGGGTGGGTTTATGCTTCACTTGCCCCCCGCCCAAAAAAAAAAAAAAAACTAAACTGAGAATATGCACTTTCTTTGTGTGCAAACAAGATATTCTCCATTTTCTCATTACATTTATTCACAAAATTCAAAATTTTAAGTGTCTTGCACCTTTCAATATGCCAATTCCATCCTCAGCCCTAAACTCACATTATCTCCTTACACCCATCTTCGTATTCTTTGTTCGCCTTCATTCTTTCTCTTTTTTCCTTTTCTACCACCTTCAATTACCACTGCTAACCCAACCCTTCCCTAAGCCCCCCCCACCCCACCAGTGACCAACTTTGCCTATTACAATACCCCTCACCCTGTCACTGGGAGGGGGAAGAGAGGCTGGGGATATGCAGAGGAGTGATGGCGAGGAGAGGAAGCTGGAGGGTTTCCAAAGGCTGATGAAGAGGGTAGAAGTGGCTGGCGAGGGGAGGGGGGACTGGTAACAGGAAGGTAGCTATGAAGGGGTTGGCGAGAAAGGGGACTGGCGATAAAGGGTGGATGTAATTAGAAATTTGATATTTACACTATTATAGTTGGTCTTTAATGGTAATTTTAGATACAAATAAATTTGTAATTAAAAAAAAAATGTAAAATGGGTGTGTAATAAATCAAAGGGCGAATTATACTAACAATCGCGATAGTTTGAGGTTCGTATCATTTTGATTTCTGACTTTTCAATTGTAACACATTTGCTCTTAAATTTTGAATCTTAATCCAAATAAAGACAATTGAAGATACTATTACTTTTTCAAGGACAAAATCGTCAATTTAATAAAATATACACTAATTTGACAAAATAAACGTCAAAAAAATATTTTTAAAATTTTAAAAATTATTTCTATCCGCCAAAAATAAAATTATGTAAAATTGATAAATATTTTAAACATGTATTTATTTACCAAATTAATGTTTATTATATGTTTGGATCATGATCATATAATGAATAATTGTTAAGATTTTAAAGTGTAATTGATATATTTAATATATAAAATATTTTTAGTTTTAGATTTTTCAATTTAAGAGATTGGTTTAATAATGATATCAAAATTATCGTTATATTTAACTTTTAAAAAAATAAAAACTAATTTAATAAAAATAAAAACAATCATTCATTACATGATTATCATTCAAATACATAATAAAAATTAATTTAATAAATAAATAAATATGTAAAAAATTTATTAATTTTACATAATTTTATCTTTGACAAATAAAAATAATTTTTAAAAATTTAAAAATATTTTTTTAACATTTATTTTGTCAAATTAATGTATATTTTATCAAATTGACAATTTTACTCTTAAAATTAAGCAATGATATCTTCAATTGTCCTTATTTGAAACAAGATTCAAAATTCAAAATCAAATATATCACAATTGAAAAGTCAAACACTAGAGTGACACGAATCTCAAACTCACACTATTAATGTAATTCGTCCTAAATCAAATGTGTGGTATAAATAGAATCACCAAACCCAACCTTAAAAAGCTTTGGAGGATTGATTGTTTGACACCAAAAGAGCAAAGAAGAAAAAAAATAAAAAATGAAAAAGAGCTACCCTCTCCCAACCACCACCATTGATATGACAGGTCAATGGAGTATAATTAAACGATTTGTAGCCTTCATACCAATACCAATGGCAGAATTTGCAACAACTACCGGAACCCAACCATCTTTATCATTCAACAACAAAAATTAATTGAGGCTTGGCACTGAATTCCTCTGCTGATGACATCAACAATTATTCATGATGATAGTCGTACACTGAGAACTCATCATATAGCAGAGATCCATTTTCATCATAGTGAAGCATGTAGTAGCAATACTTGCAAAAATAGCAAGGATTGTCCGGAGCCCACTTATCATCAACCGTTACCTTTTCTGCTCTGTAAATCTTACAAACAGAGCATTTCCGGTAACGTAATTTTAATTGAAATGTGGTAATTGGATAAGCTGCTCGGTTCTGCACATCTTCTGGATGAATTAACCTCATATCTCTAACTACAATTACATGCTTGCAATCTCCCTGCAATGTAAACACAAAAATAACCTCTTAGTGTGTCTAAGAAACTACAGAAACAAGACAGACCAGCATTAACATGCAAGTCATGGCCATTGCATTAAAAACACAAAAATGATACCCCAAACACAGCTGTTTTTTCTTTTTTTTCTTTCTTCTTTTTTCTTTTTTATGACAAAATAGGTGAGGAACACTAGAAACCACATAATAACAAGGTTTGAGCAACCAGTATTACTTTGGTAATTAAAATGTCTACTCGCAATGAAACCATGATTCTCAAGCAAAAACAAGGTTTGAGCCCCAAAGAGAGCACAAAAACAAGGTGATGGCACACCATACCTGGTGACAATACAGATAGCCAGCACCAAGTCGAAATCGTAAATCAGAAAAACGTGTCTTGTGCATGTCAACAGCTTTGAAGCGAGGCAAGTGTGAGCTTGATGCACTGCCTAAAAGGGCTTTTTGCTTCTGTTGCATTTCACCAGATATGATGCACTCCCATTTTTCAAGGACTTCAGCTTCGGATTTTCTGAACCAATCAAATACAGGTTCACTGTAGTCGATAGCAGAAGGAACCCTCAAATCATTACAAAACACATCCTACAAGGGATAGCATCCAATTATACAGGGTAGCAAGTCATATTTCTCATTAAAGTGAATTAATTCAGTTAATCACCTCTATGAGGAAATATCCAGAAGGATCATGTTGCTCTGCCTTTTCCATAACCTTATCTGTCAAGCAATATATGCTGTCTCTCAGTTCAGTCAAAGGTTGACATCCTAAGACCAAGAATTCTTGGGTCTACAAACAATTCAATTTATTGTCAGTGGCAAACATTGTTAGTAAATATATGTACATTATGTGGGTGTTTAGGAAGTGGCTATTTTTTAGACTTTTTGGCTTTTTGGCTATTTTAGTTTTTGTGTTTGGGAAGATAGGATGAATTTTTATTTGAATTGCTGTATTGAAAATTATGTTTGAGGTTGAAATGACAAATTTGTCCCTAATCCCACTTTTTTCAAAATTGATGTAAAGGGGCACAAGTGTAATTTACTACCAGTGGGACAGCCGGAATGGTGACAGTGGCAGGCTGCAGTGCCACTGAATGTAGGCTGCCAAGCTACATTTTTTTTTTTTTTTAATAAAAACCAATGGTTCAGCTACTGTTCAAGGCTAAAAGGCTTTTTGGAAACTTGAGGCTAAAATAGCCTACCCCAGGCCTTCCAAACACCGCCTATGTATATATATGTACAGTTAAAACAAACAAAACCAGAACCAGAACACCTAAAAACATAACATATCATAAAAGTAGTCCATAGAATATTCACATTCAATGATGCATCACACATTGTTTGATCCAGATAAACAATTATCAAAATTGATTAATAAATTGGAACACCAACCAAACTGTCATTTCAGATATGATATCAAAGAAGTTACAAAGGGGAGAAATGGTTTACCTTTGCCCATGTTCGTTTGTTATGGTAAACTTCAACACAAAGAACAGTTTCTGGGTGTAGCACTGGTACATGATCATGAATGTTTGATGACCTGACCTGATATGAATTTGAAAGAAGTACGCAATGTTTAATCATTTAAAATTCAAATTTAGCAAATTAAAAGAAAAGGAAAAACAAGTGACAATGCACCTATAAATAGAAAATTTCCATCCCTTGGGTGTTCGGTGAAATTTAAATGTTTAAGTTGATGGGCCACCAGCAGTGTTAAACTAACTCTCATTATTTCCTAGTTTTAAAACTGCTAACAAGAATATGCTTGCACAGCTGCAGCACAGAGAATTCAATACTCAAAGCACTGGAATCAGATTCAAGCTTTTCTATATGGTGACTCCAAGAAAGAAGGCCATTAAAACAAAATACATGGTCAAAATTTAAATAGTGAATATCAGTTAAACCAAAAAAATAAACGCACCATCAACACATTGTTTTCAGTAACATGAGAAACAAAAAAATAAAACAAAACATTAGCATCAGTCAACGAATAATTATGGAATGGATTTTTTTTCTCATTGTAAAGAAAAAGACATTGAAAGTTCAACGTTGAAGGCCAAGCCAGTGCAAGGCTTTGACACACACAGCACAACCTTCAACTGTCCAAGACTTGAAAATTACATAAATTAATTAAGTCTTGACGAAGACTAAAAGGGCCTAGTGATGTAGGAGTAGGACAAGTAGAGACAGCAGCAAATTTGGTTTTGGGGGCTGATTTTAAGTGGGTTTTGTAGCCGAAATCGCAATAAGAATGTAGGATTTTGAAGGGTTTGTATGGAGTAATAAAGGGGTAAGATTTTAATTTTTAAGCATGAAAAGATGAGATTTTAGCACTGTTTGGCTTTGTTTGATTCACAAGACTAATAGTGAAGGTATTAATAATCCCATCAAATTAGTGTGGTATTCACTATTCAATTGGATTAGTAGGATAAATTATCCCCTTATCCATTGTTTGATTTGCATTGGATTAGTAGGTAAAAGTCCTTTTATTTTATTTCCCAACTTCGGATATATAATTCCACCCCTACCCTATTACTAATAATCCTACAAATTTGTTGGATTAATAATTCATTGGATTAATAATCCTAAAACAAAATTTCAAAACAAACACAAGATTATTAGGTTTACGGATTAATAATCCCAATCCCATGTTCTAATCCTGTCAATCAAACATGCTCTTTAGGTACTGTTTCAAGGACTGTAAATGGTGTTTGAGCTGTGAAAGTGCAGAAAATACAAGAGGGAAAGAAAGGAAAAGACGAAGATAGTTTCTAATTTCTAGGAATCACTCCTAGAGACCTTAGGCGTCACACCCATGGTTGTTAAAATCGCGATCCAGATCGTACGATCCTACGATCCTACTTTGCCAAAACGATCCAAATCGTTGTAAGATCGATGTTATAACAGGATCGCAAGTAGGATCGCATGGGATCGTGTAGAATCATGTAGGATCGTATAGGATCGCAAGTAGGATTGTAGATTTTATGATTTTTCACCTTATTTTTAATATGTATTATTTTAATTTTTATTTTTATCTTTTTTTTTTAATAGAAAGTAGGATCTTATGATCCTCGATCCGATCCTACGATCCGATCCACCAGACTCTCTCACCGATCCTACTTAGGATCCCGATTTTAACAACCTTGATCACACCTAGGGTTTGATTGCATCACACAATCTATCAGAAAGCTTCAAAGCTCTTGAAATTCTCTAAAATATTAACTCTATTAAATTATAAGCATTGCATGACTTCAGATAGACTTCAGAAATTTACTTTACTAGCTGGGATTCCAAAATAGGAAATTACTAAAATTTTGACTTCCAAAACTCATCTAAGACCAAAATAAGAAACATAAACAAAAAACAACTAAAAAAAACATAAAAGAACCATAAAATAAGACTCTACTAACATTAGTAGCTTAAAACCATGGCAATTTCCAAATATTGTCACTTCTTTAACTATGCTTTTACTTGCTCTTCATGCAGATTGCATCACCTAGTGGTTAAGGTCCTCCCTAACCAAGGTTGGTTTCATTACCAATCTGCATAATCCTACGCGCCTCTCATGCCTGCAATCCTACTAAACACTTTTGGGTTCTTAGGGGGGAAAATGGCATTAAAGAGTCGATCAAACAGCCTCGGGTCTGATAGGGGAATAGATTAGGTCAATTGAGAAATTTAAAAACAAGATGCATTAGGGGAAAGCTACAATAATTCTTAAAAAATGAATAAATAATAAACAAATGAAAGTTGTATTACAAAAATCGTGGTTCAATATTATCTGAAGAAATAGTACATAGAATCAAGAAGAAAAAAACATTTCTGGAGCAAACCTTTGTTGTAGAACTTAACGACTTGAGGGCTTTCATCCTCTCAGATCCATCAGAGGACAAGGTCGCACATTCAATAATCCTGCAATTACCCCTGGGCCAAACGAAATATGAAAACCAAGGTTAACATCAGAATAGGAAGTTTAGATTTTATTTTTTATTTTTTTGTAGGACAAGGTCAACTCAGGGGGAGTGTAGAACAACAATCCTTTACATACTTGAATGAGTGCAGTCTTGCTGCTGCTTTGTCTTCATCTTGTTTTTGTTTAATCTTTGCAAGTTGTTCCACCTTTCTGATATAACTTTCCTGAAATGCAAGGAAGATCGGTATACAAGAAAGGACAGAGACCACATTTTGCCAAGGCAGCAACACATAATTGCAGCTAATTATTCAGCACAAGTAATCATACAGAGACACAGAAATTATTATTATTATTTTTTTTTAACCACTGTCAAATCAAACTCACCAAACAACCAGCATATCAAGCAGTCTATTTAAATTTTACAACCAAAAGTGAGAACTTGGCAACCACTGTCAACTAACTCCAAGCATCTCAAAATTATCAATAACCCTTTTCAAATGAAGTTCTGTGTTAATGCAATGTGTAAGTGGCATAGAAGACAGTCATCTACTATGCTCAGTCCAAATAACGAGATAGCCAAACTAAGCCTTGTATCTCAATCAAGTGGGTTAGTTACGTGAAAATTTCACGTAACTAAAGCTATTTAAAGCTATTTGCTCAGTTAAATTAAATAAACGGAAAATTTCACTTTACCCCCCTATAGTTTGGGCCGGATGAAGATTACCTCTTGACATTTGGAAATCACCCCATGCGGTTTATGGACTAAAATGCACAGTCAATATTTCCATCCAAGATAACAAAATGTGAGAGTCACACGCCTCTGTGGAGAGTAAGTCAATTTTTAAGATGAAAATACCCTTTTTACATCTTCAAATTTACCAAAGATGCCATTATTTTCCCTCTCCCTTTATTTATATTGTTTCTATCTACTCTTGCAATTAAATAATAGCACTCATATATATACATAGAAATTAAATAATTTCCATTAAAATCTATCTTAATGTCAATGGCAGCTTATCTCTTAACATACATGCATATATATATATATAAATACATATTTATGATTGAAGGATGGGATTTGTAACCAAAATGAGTGCAGCACAGAACGTGGCCACTTAGAACTTAGAGGAGTCGTAGATTAGGAGCGCTTACCGAGTGATAATGGAGTGATATTATTATATATGATTTAATTAAATTTCTTTTAAACAATTAGATAATTTATTTTATTATTATATGTTAAAAAGTTAAGAAATAATAATTTACAAAAATTATTATTATATATAATATTTTAAGATATAACAATTAGATATTCCATTACATATGCTAAAAATTATAATTTCTAAATTTTATTATATATATTATATGATAAATTGTATTATATATGATCAATTATATTATATAAAGTAAATTATATTAAAACAAAGAGAATGAGAGAGAGAGCAAAGAACAAATTGAGAGACGAAGAGAGGGAGAAGCTTAGAGACGAAGAGGAGATCGAGATCGAGAGTGAGAGAAGAGTGACAGATGAATACAATCAAGGTCGACAGAGAGAGACGAATACAATCGAGATCAACAGTGAGAGAAGAGAGTGATGAAGATGATCAAAGAGAGAAAAAGAACGAAAGACAGAGAGATCGAGAAGAAAAAAGAGAGAAAACGAGAGGCAGAGAGAGAAGAAGATCGAGAGACAGAGAGATTGAGAGAGAGAAGAAGATCGAGCGACAGAGAGAGAAGAAGATCGAGAGACAGAGAGAGAAGGCAGAGAGATCGAGAGCTTGATCGCTTCCTTCTCGCATCAGATTCGCATTTCTCACTCCTCAAACTCGCGATTCTTCTCCAATTCTTCCTCAGGAGCGCAAAATCACGCTTCTTGCTCGGATTCGTAAGTATCATCCACAATTCCTGCTACTAAAGTGTATATATATACAAACAATGAGTTGAGATTTGTATATCTATATTAAAGATTGTAACTTTACATCTTTTTTTTTTTGGTATATTTAAATCTTTGGTTCTCATAAGAATGGGGGATTTTTGGTCTATTTAGATCTCATATAAACAGTGAGTTGGGATTTGTATATCTATACTAAAGATTGTAACTTCTCATTTTTTTTTTTTTTTTGTTGATAATATACAGCCCCATCCAGTTTAGCTTGTATTTTCCCTTGGGTCATGAAGAATGGGGAAATTTTTGGTCTGTTTAGATTCATATAAATCGTGAGTTGAGATTTTTGATCTGTTTAGATATTCAATTTTATGGTAGTGGGTCTGATTTTTTTGTTCAATTTTTGTTTATGGTTGGTGGGTTTGATTACCTTTCTTCTTACTCCCAGTTGTTTGTCTCCTTCTGTCCTTCATTGGCCATTGTTGCAAATTCTGTTAAAAGAGAGGATAAAGCTGAAAAGAAGAAGAAAGAGGTAGGGGTAAAGAGAGAACCAAAAGAAAAATGAAAGTTTTTTAAAAATAAATAAATAAATAACACATATATATGGATAAAACATGAGCATACAAAGATTTTTTTTTCAATCTAAGTTTTTTTTCAATCTTCACTGTACATCTACATATATATATATATATATATGCGTGTGTGTGTGTGTGGTGTGTTTGATGAATTGGAAATTCAAAATTGTGTTCTTTGATTTCAGTTTCTTCACTCTGCATATACATACATATACACACACACACGTGTGTGTGTAAAATATAATTTTGGTGATGTTTGATGAAGAAGAAAGGTGTGGGTTTTGCCAGAAATGGAGGCAGAGATGAGGCCAAGTGAGGGCTTGCCCAAGGGGAAGAAGGGTGTGGGTTTCGTCGGAAATGGAGGTTGTTGGTGTTTCTCAGCTCAGATTGGGAAACATTATAAATAAATAAAAAATAGAAGAAAATGAGGGTATAACTGTCAATTTACATCTTCTGTTAACAGAAGTTAGTGTGCTCTTCAATCCACAAGCCACATGGGGGTTATGCGGTGATTTCCAAATATCAAGAGGGTAATCCGCACCTGGCCCAAACCATGGTAAAGTGAAGTTTCCCCTTAAATAAATTCATACATCTCACAAGTAATATAGGATCCAAGTCAAATTTTTAAATATCTAGATTTGAGGAAGCCTAGATAAAGGAAGCTTTGAGACACTGAAATCATACCAAATGCTCAAGAACAAAAACTAGAGGAAGACAGGTAAGTTAAAGCATGAATGCTAGAGAGTTAATACCGTACTTTTGAAGTATGATTCTGCTGATTAATGATACGCCCCCTCATCTTCCTCTTTTTTGATATGTTTCCACTCAGTTTTCCATTATCACCAGTTCTTTGAGGAAACCCATTCAAGGACTTGAATGAAGCTGAAGCATCTTCTAACATTCCTGAACCTTCTAAACCCGCATGTCCACAGCTAGATATTCTACCATCATCTTTTCTACTGAGAATTAATATCAAAACGGGATAAATTTCAAAGCATAAAAGCATTTACACTCATGTTACATCATTCTAAAACAAAATTATCCGCAAAGGTTATGTTGACGACAACTGTACACAGACACTAAGAGAAGACATAAGCACATATATATTTAATGAATTTTATGTAAGCTGCATCCTTGCTAAGAGCAAAAATCAAGATATAAATCAGTGGAAAAAGAAAACCCTCCCCTTGCCAAACAAGTGCTCTAATTTGTGATTTGGCAACTCAAAACCTTCAAAAGACCTTCTGTTACTCCTTTTCAAATGCTCCAAGAACAATCTTCAAAAAGACCACCTATTAGGCCATTCCCAATATTCTAAATAAGAAGCTCTGCAACATTTCTTCATATCTGGGAAAGCCAAGAAATTCCATGTAAAACAGAAATTACCAAAATGCATAAGATCTCGTTAATTTAGAAGACCTTGTGGACAACCTAGCCCCAGTCAAATGTATATTATATATTAAACTTAAATAAAAAGTTAAAAATCATGGCTTGGATATTCTTCTCTAGAAAATAACATCAGGAAGAAATTAGTTTGAGTTCCTAAACACCAACATAGGTATCCACTTAGAAAATATATTTTTGCATGGCCAATATAAAAATAATGAGCTACGTGCAACCAGAGATGTTACAAAATAGAAACTTCAAGGTATAAGCTTCAATATGCCTTCATGTTTCTGCTGTTCATTTCTACTGGCCGTGGGAAAACCTTATCCTATTAATGTGACCGAAAATTGAAGATATGTCTCGTATCTTTGGAAGAAAATCCCCAAACACTCTTACTTAATCAACACCAATTTATTTGAGATGTTGCAAAGACATGCGAGCAAGGTTCTGGAAAGCGGTTGTGGTCGCCGTAACGGTGGCGGTGGCGCAGTTGCAGTTGCGGTTGCGGGGTGTAAAGGCCGTAGCGTAATGGTTGCGGTAACCAGAACCGTAAATTTTTTTATTTTTCGTACAATTTGAAAAAAACATACCGATAGGCATATTTTTTTTCCATGACCATATTTATTGGGTTTAAAATAAATATTGATCAATTTTTATAAATTTTTAAGTATGATCTAATATATTTTTTATATTTTTAAATCACTAAAAACTGAGTTTTGTACATTTTATTTTAATAATTAATGACTTTATATTATACAAAGAATCAATCACTCACTATTATATATAAGATAAACAATGACAAAAGTAAGAGAATAAATAAGAGCCTAAATATATATATATATATATATATTTTAACCAAGCCAAATAAATAATAACCACACTTATTATTATTATTATTATTTTCAAACAATATATAGATAGACACACACAAACAAAATGGTTGAATGATAGCAGCTGAATAGAATATTATAGGTCTTACAGCTTCAACAAATGAATAACATATTCTTTATCTTCCCTCTTCTCTCTCTCTATCTCTAACTCCTCTATCTTCTCTCTTTATCTCCCCTCTTCTCTCTATCCCTCTTCCCCCCATTTTTAGCTTTTTTTTGTGTGTTTTTTTTGAAAGAAATAGTTTGGAACTATTACATAACGGTGCGTAACAGGCCGTTACGGCTGTTATGGCACCGTTACGACCGTTACAGCCGACACACCTGTGAATCTCAATCACATTGCAAAAGCGGCTATAACGGGTGGCGGTAACCACTACAACCATTACGTAACGGCGTTACGTAACGGTTGCGGCTGCTTTTTAAAACCTTGCCTTGCGTGCAAGCAACATCGCCATGTTCTCAATTCTGTTCTTCATTCCTTTCCCCACAGCAGCAACCTCTGCCCTATTATTCATTACTAATGGAAATACACTAGTCCAATGGAATCCATTCAATGAGATTCAGCAACACACATAGTTGGATTACAAGGAACCTTTAAAAATAATAAAATAATATATGAAAAAAAAAAAGAACTGACAAATTAATTCAGATTCACATACCAAAGTATTAGATTTTACCAGGCATTCATATGTATGTTAATCAGCACAAACGCATGGTCAAATATAAAAACTATGGATCAATAAACCTTGAACATAATCCATACTCAAATATTCATATCCCAAGGGGTTAAGGGTCAAATAATGCTCGTCGTGTTTAAATTCCAGAAAAGAGGGTCCACTTAAGGTCTAATGCCCTCTACCTGAGTCGGGAAGTTAAAACTAAACAATCCTCTATTGTTGGTGCCCTCCCATGAAAAGCACTTGAAAACAAGTTTGACAAGGTTAAAAATTCCAGTATGGGCAGTCTAACAATATCATGATTAAAAGTCTACTGTACTAATGGCATAGCAACTAAAAAAGTTCGGCCAAGAACAGAGCAAAAAAACTTGATTCAAGATATGAAAATAAATGTATGTATACATCATTATGTTAGGGTTTATGTTACCTATTTAGTTAGGTTTCTTATTTTGGTTGTTAAAACCTCATTTAATTGTAATTTCCTATTTCCAGTTGTACTTATTTTAGGAAAGTCCTAGTTGAGTTGTTTTTAGAATCCATATCTTAAATATGACTTGTAGTGCTCTTTAAAGATCTCAGTTTGCACACAACCAGCATGAGCAGCCATCCAGATTAGTATTATGTGATGCAGGAGACAATGCAACAAAAAATATCTAAGTGTAGAAGGACCCAGTCATTCGTTGGGTCGACCGGTGTCTATGCTTAAGTCTCTAGAAGTTCAACACATGATAGGTTGAAACATCGGTGCAAAGTTAATCCATATAGCACAAGGAAGTTGCCAAAAATTCAATCCAACTCTTCCAAGGATTCTCCAACAACAACTATATAGTATGGACAGGATCAAACCTAAGCTTTTGGAGCATTGTGCATAGCCATATGATTCCGGTTTAATCATTCTTCTCCAAGCAATCACTTTTAGACTCCATCGAAGTGTTCAGAGTGGTATCTTGGAGGATTTCAAGGCATTGGTGGTCAATCAAGTGCAAGGAACAGTGTACATGGCTTCGGCAATAGCACTTAAGTCCTAAAGGTTGTGGATTCAACAGTGGTCTGTAAGTATCTTGTAACTGTTCATCAGTTTATAGTGCTTGGTTGAGTTGGACCTTGGTTCGGGGTCCCATGTTTGCTTTTCCCGTTTGGGTTTTCTACGTTAAAATCGCAATTCACTTTTTTGTGAGCCTGATTTTATATTTTGACTTTGATACAATAGATTAATTGCATAAATCGCTTAAGCAACTCCATAAAATGGATCCAAAATGCATATTTTCAATTTTTTCAATTATCAACCACTATTATCTTGTCTAAATCAAGCACTATTTTATTTTGGTTACAGATAATTTGAGCAGAGAGAAATTGAAATGACATATGGAGGGGGGGAAAGAACTCTGCAACAAAAAAAAAATCAATGTAGGTCAAAAAAAATATTGCTAAAATAGTAAATTACCATATCATAGGAAAGGGTCATAAAACATAAATAGCCTTAAAAATAACAGAGTGCAGTTTATATTCTACTAATACCTTTTTTCTTTTTCTTTTTCTTTTTTTTTTTTTGATAAATTCCCACTAATACCATATTATCAACTCTTATACTTATCAATATATATATTCTACTAACCCCGCATTAGATTGCTCTTCTGAAACTTCTGAAGAATTTCCAGTCTGCACGACATCCTGCAGTCATCTTATTAAAACTATATAAAAGAAACCACAGGAAAATCCTCGTAACAAGTTTATATGAGCATACCTTAAATGCCTCCTCAAAAGCCTTGTTTACCAACTCTTCCTCGGCAATAATTTTAAGCTCATCAACACTGCGAAAGCAATCATGAATAGCAGATATGTCAAATGCTATTAAAGATAATCATAGTACAGTCAGTCAGGAGTAGGAAAAAAATACACACTCACAAATTCAAATATGCCTTAAGTAAACAAAAACGATGTTGCCACCAAGGTTCTTGAAGACACTGCCAAGTTCCAAGGCTCCAACATGATTTGCCCCAAAACCCCAAGGGAACTATTAACTTATAGAGACCAAAAACCATCAACGCAAGAGAGACTTCTGTACTTCATTTCCCCAAAGTTCAGAACACATCTCATCTCCTTTACAAAGAATTTGATCAAAACACATATATCCACAAAGCCTATGAAAAGACTACCCTCCCAAGATCAGGAAAATTACGTTATTGACATATATATATTTGAACAAAACTACCCTCCTATACTTTCTCCCCTCCCCCCTGCCCCCTCAAACTCACTATGTGATAAGGATAACATCGAGAGTTTGTCAAGCAGAAGTCAGAAGCGAGAGACAATACAAGACTTGGTATAGAAATCAATAAGCTGGAGTGAGGAGTGGAGGGTGTAGGGGAGAGATAGTTCCATACTATAAACGATGACGGACAAAGTAACAATCAATCTCGAAGTGTTTTGTTCTCTCATAGAAGACAACATTTTGTGCAATTTGAATTGCACTTTTCATATAACAGGTATATGATCATAGGAGTAGAAGAAGACAAATGAACACCCATAGCTAGTAGCAACCACCATAGCCAAATGATCTCTACAACTGCATATGCCATAGCACGATATTTAGCTTCAGAACTAGATCAAGATATAACATTTTGTTTCTTGCTTTTCCAAGAAAGAAATAAGGGAGTCTCCAAGAAAAATGAGAAATCCTATGGTGGAGCATCTATCAGTGACATCACCTACATAGTCTATATCAGAGTAGGCTCAAAGCTTTATACCTGGAGAAACATAAAGAAAGAAAATAAAGTAAGACGAATAGGGATTACTTTCCTACAAGTAGTGAGCCCAGGATAAATATATTGACAAAATGTACAGAGCTGGATTTAGTGGGATTTTGTGGCTGCAAAATGTATTAAAAATATAAAAGTTTAAGGGTTCATAAAAGGGTAGAGTTTTGGGAATGAAAAAGTGTTCAAGTGTTTAACGGCTGTTGGGTGGTTGTTTTGAGCACTATGAACAATGACATGAACAGTAACTTTGTTGGGGAGAGAGAAAGAGAGGTACTTCACCTTCACAAGGGTTAGATCAATCACACACAAACACAATATCAAATTCTCATAATATCAATTGCTCTATTGAATCATTGAGATTACATTTATGTTTTTAGGCTAAATACTTTCCTAATTCTATAAGGACTATATCTTTGGAAACTAAGAATATTTGGCAACTACTAATATTCTAGACCAACTATGACTATAACTTCCAATTCCACTTCGATCATAATTGAAAATTTTGATGAGTTCTAATTCTACTCCAACATCAAAATAAGGAATTTACCTTTTTTGACTACTAAGATTATTCCAAACGTAATAAAACACATATATATTACTCATTTAATAACTTGACCTAAAATAAAACACATGAGCAACCATACAACCCGTATCCAGCAATAGTGAAATTACCATAATACCCTTTAACTACTAAACAAACACTACCATGGACACTTTTATTTGGACCAAAAAGGTTTCTTGACGATCATAAGACCCTTAGACTTTGTTTTGGACTTCCAAAGCCTATCGTACTTGCTTAACAATGCAGTTGCATCAAAAAGATTCCTTGAAACAAGGTCTCTACAAGATACCTAAGAAAGCAAACAACAACTGCCCAATGAACCGAATGAGAAGCAAAGATAAATTGGCTAACAACATGAACTGTACAAGAAGTATTTGGATGAGTAATAGTAAGAAATACTAAGCAAAAAATAACTTGACTATACAAGGTGGCATCTGGTAATGGTAAGGAAACACCATCAGATGGTCTGAGTTTAACATTGAGCTCAAAGGGATTATCAACCACCATTGCATCTGTCAACCGAGCACGATTAATAATCTCACTACCATACTTGGACTAAGACAAAACATAACCCTTTGGAACTAAGAACTTCAATCTACTACTATTATTATATAAGGTGGACGAGGCAAAGTGTTATCTACACTTCACTTTCCAAAATTTCCCACTATTACGCTCCGTTTGTTTTGGTGGAAAATATTTTCTAATGGAAAACATTTTCTACGGAAATTTTTTTTCTAGAAAAAAATATTTTTTTATAATTGGTGGTGGTGGTGATGGGATGAAGGTGGAGGTGGAGGTGGAGGTGGAGGTGGAGATGGTGGCGCTAACCATGGAGATGGTGGTGTGGTGGTGGAGGTGATAATGGTAATGTGGTGATAATGTATTCCATTTGACTTTTATTTTCCATTGTACCAAACGCTAGAAAATATGAAAAACATTCCCAAAAAGATGTTTCCGTCCAATATGAATTTTCCTAGCAAATCCTAATTGCTACATGGAATAGAGTGCAAGAGTTTCCAAGGAGACTAATAGATCACTTCCTTTTTTCCACGAGTCTGTGACTCTTAAACAGACTCGCACAAATTAATCTTAATACAGCAATGAATCATCAGTCTCAAGAACTGAAAATTAAGAAGCCTTTTAGAATGCATTTCGAAAACATTGACCCGCTTCAACTGCCTCTCCGCATTTGCGCTATAAGAAAAAAAGAACACGGAAGAAAGAACACACATTTCTCTAGTAGTGTTGGAGTGGGTCTTAGAATTGCTCTAAACATGACAATAACAATAAAGTGCTTTGGCTAAAAAAGAGTTCTTTGAGTGGGAAAGGGTGAATAGACCATAGATTCAACAAATAAATAAATAAGTTGATTGACTTACCACAAATCTTCGTCAAACATTTCAGACAAGTCTGAACATACCTCCGCCTTGAGCTTCTGAACGGAGCCAAAAAGAGTAGTATTACTATTAGAGACGATAGATAAGGGAACAAAATCAGATTGTGTGGGAATGGGAATGGGTGTGGGTGTGTAAGATAGAGAGATGCGTACCAAAACTTCCTGGTGCACAGAAGCCTCAAAGTCAGAAACCCTAGTAAGAGGACCGACCATGTCGGGAACGTATACAGGGCCGCCGCGAGGAATTGAAACAAAGCGGTCTTCTCCATCTTGAAAGTAAGACTCTGTCATCTCAGTTGTTGTCGTTGTCATATTCATTTTGACCTTTTTTCCCTTTCTTCTTCTTCTTCTTCTTCTTCTATGCGTGATCCAGAGTTTTCGAGGAGTTGCACAAGGCGGTAGAGTGAGTCTACTTTTGCCCTATTTGCTAACGTTTTCCCGTTTATATTTACAAAAATTTTATAAATTAATTTTTGTTTATTTTTAGGAAAACATAAACTACAAACGCGTTTGGTAATTGACAAAATATTTAAAAAATTTTAAAAATATAAAAAAGAGTAAGAAATGACAAGTGGCGGCAAGTGACGGCGGAAGACGGTGGTAGAAAGTGGTGACGGTGGGTAGTGGGTAGCTGGTGATCATTTAAGCAGATCCAGTCGGTAAACAAATGGGTGGCGGTGGTGGCAGGGGGGTGGCGGACGGCAGGTGATGGTGGCGGGTAGGTGACGGGTGGTGGTAGTGGGTGGGTGGGTGACGGTGGCAGGTAGTGGGTGGTAGCGAGTGGGTGGTGGTGGCAAGTGGGTGGCGGATGGTGAGTGGTGGTGGGTGGCGGATGGCGGGTGGCGGGTGGTGGTGGGTGGCGGGTAGGTGGTGGGTGGTGAGTGGCCGATGGCAGGTGGTGGTGGATAGCGGGTAGGTGGCAAGTGGCAGGTGGTGGTGGTGGGTGCGTGGGTGACAGTGGCGGGTGGTGGGTGGTAGCGAGTGGATGGCGGTGGCGGGTGGGTGGCGGATGGCGGGTGGTAGTGGGTGATGGTGGGTGGGTAGGTGGGTGGGTGACGGTGGCGAGTGATGGGTGGTAGCGAGTGGGTAGTGGTAGCGGCGGGTGGTGGTAGCAAGTGGGTGGCGGATGGCGGGTAGGTGACGGGTGGTGGTGGTGGTGGTGGGTAGGTAGGTAACGGTGGCGGGTGGTAGGTGGTAGCGAGTGGGTGGTGGTGGTGGGTGGTAGGTGGTGGTCGCAGGTGGGTAGCGGGTGGTAAGTGGTAGCAAGTGGGTGGTGGTGGTAGTGGGTAATGGGTGGTGGTGGCAGGTGGGTGGCGGGTGGGTAGTGGGTGATGGTGGTGGTGGTGGCAGGGGCAGGTGGCTAGTGGTGGCAGGTGGTGAATGGTGGTGGCAGGTGGGTAGTGAGTGGTGGTGGCAAGTAAGTGGCGGGTGGTGGTGGCGGGCGGTGAATGGTAGTGGCAGGTGGCGGGTGGATGACAGGTGGGTGGTGGTGGTGGTGGTGGCGAGGGCTGGCTGGTGGTGGCGAGTGGGTGGCGGGTGGGTGGCGGTGGCGGGTGGTGGGTGGTGGTAGCAGGTGGGTGGTGAGTGGTGGTGGCAGGTGGTGGTGGAGGATGGGTGGTGGGTGGTGGTGGCGGAAGACGGTGGTGGAAAATGGTGGCGGGTGGTGGCTAATGTTGGGTGACAAAAAAAAACAAACTGAAAACTCAAAATGGAAACACATTTTTTGTGTTTTCATTTTTTGGCCTAATTTATAAACTGAGACTACTGATTTATAAATCAAAAATTTTACTAAACAGGTTTTTATTTGAGTTTTTTAAATTTTTGTAAATATAAACAGAAAACTGAAAACGTAAGTGTTACCAAACGACACCTTATTATTTTCATTTTATTTTAATTTTTAATTTAATTTAAATTATTTTGATGTGTTTGATTCAGTTTAATAATACAGTTTATAACTTTTTATAAATTAAAAATTAACTTATTTTTTGAGTGGGGGAGGAAAAACTTAACTTATAAGTCAAAAATCAACTTATATTTACAGTTATAAAGTATAAATTATTAAATTATAAGGTATAATCACTTTTCCACCGCTCTACCAAAAGATCCTTTCAAGCCCTTCTTCAATTGCGGTCTTCCACCTTCTGCAAATACCACTATTGCGGTCTTTCATATATAGGTAACACCCATAGAAGGGTACTTACGTGTATAATAAGTGTTCTTATTGTCAAATAGGTCTTATAAAAAAAATTTATCACAAAAAAATATTATTAATTATAAATTTTAGCGATAATTTATAAAAATTATGATTAAAAAAGTCACTAATTATCAATATTTAGCGACGTATATAAAAAATTATCACAAAAAAATTATTTTTAACAATAATTTTATCAAAATTTATTTTCAATAAAACTTGATGAGAATTAAGTCTAACTATTAGGATCTATTGATAATTTACTCTAAATTTTCTATTAGATATGTAGTTTGGCAGCGGATTTTCGACTACAAAACACGCAGAAGGTAAATTAATCACATAAGTAATAAGGTAAAATATTACATTTATATTATAATTATTATATATATTTTTTTATAAAAATTAAAAGAAAGTTAAAAACAAAAGTTAAACGAGATTAAAATAGTTAAAAAATTAAAAAATTAAATTATTTTAAGTCTTTTTCAACGAAGACTTAATTCACATTACGTGTTATAGAAAACTGATAAAATTCTCATTAAAAATAATTTTTTATAAAATTCTTTTATATATATCGTTAAAAATTGATAATTAGTAATTTTTTTATCACGATTTTTATAAATTATCGTTAAAACTTATAATTAGTAAAAATTTTCTATGACAAATTTTTCAAACTATTGATTAAGCTAAAAATTAGTTACTTTTTTGTAACGATTCTTTTAAATAAAATTTATAATAATTGATAATTTTTTGTGACAAATTTTTTAAACTATTACTGAAAATTAATAATTAATAATTTTTTTAATAATATTTGATGAAAAACGTTATTAATTATTACATGACCTATTAGTTGATAAATTGATCTATTAAAATTTACACGTAAATTCTTCCGGTATGAATGGTGGCACCTAAAAAAATTGTAATTGGACGATTGAGTTAAAAATTAAAATAAAATTGTAAAAAGTAAATGTTCAAAGATTTGAAAGAAAAACAAAATGAGTTCAGCACATGATTGCCCATGCAATTGGTATAGGAATGCTTTTAAAAACAGACTGGACCTAAAAAAATTGTAATTGGACGATTGAGTTAAAAATTAAAATAAGATTGTAAAAAGTAAAAGTTGAAAGATTTGAAAGAAAAACAAAATGAGTTCAGCACATAGTTGCCCATGCAATTGGTATAGGAATGCCTTTAAAAAGAGACTGGACCTAAAAAAACTGTAATTGGACGATTGAGTTAAAAATTAAAATAAGATTGTAAAAAGTAAAAGTTGAAAGATTTGAAAGAAAAACAAAATGAGTTCAGCACATAATTGCCCATGCAATTGGTATAGGAATGCTTTTAAAAAGAGACTGGATTCCCTTCTGTCCGTGATTAAATTGAAAGATATTGTTAATCTTACGAGGGCTCATTACAAATCTCATTTTAATAATCTGAATTATTTAATATGTAAAATTTGTTGAGTACTATATGTCTGTAAAAAATTATATTGATCGGATATCGATAACTATTTCATCAAATTAGATTTATGCCAACTGTTTATTTTTTTACTGTCTTTTTTTTATACAAAACTGATTTGATCACGTTATTATCAATATTCGATCAATGTGATTTTTTACAAATATATAGTACTCGACGAGTTCTACATATTAACGATTCAGATTATCAAAACAAGACCCACGATGAATCCTCATAAGCTTAATAACACTCTCTAACATGTAATCAAATTAGAAGAAAGCCAAACCTTTTTGAAAACTCATAATATCAAACATAAACATCAAGAGAATGCTTCTATTTATAAAAGTATAGATATAGATATAGTAATAATGTAAGTCATCCATCTCATAAATTCAATAATAAATATGAGTCGTATGTCAAATTAATTTCATTAAACATCACTAAACATAAGAATAAATTATATTTTATTTTTTAAAATAAATAATAATTATTAGTTTTACTTAAACTCATTTTATAAAATAAAATACATTTTTCTATCTATTTATCAATATCAAATAAAATTAATTTTTTACATAGAACATCTTTATTACAAGATTTACAAGATAATAGTTCAGATTATTATTATGTATCTAGAGTTCACAAAAAAGTATATTGTGGTGTAAAGGATAATAAATATAGCAACGAAGGCATACATACTATGCGACAAACTAATAAAAATACATATAGAGAAAATCTCATTTTACCTCTCAAACTTTGCCTCAGTAATCAATTACACCTAAACTTCGAATAATTTTAATTTTATCCTCATAGTTTTTTGAAATCGTATCAACTTGCCCTCTACTGTCACATTTAAACGAAAAGAACTAAAAAAATTACATTTTAGTCCCAAATTTCAAATTATAGATGCAAACTTACCATTTATGCCTCTCTCTCATAATTTCCTTAATTATCCAAATCCCTCTGTCACCCTTCTCCTCCCTCCTCATTCCCCATCAAAACAACCCCGACTTATGATTAGCCGATAAACCTTGATTAATTATGCTTAATGAGTAATTAAGATGAAATTCTAAATTAATTGTATGCGTGTTGCATTATTTGTATTTCTATCTGTCTACCGTAGAAATATCTATTTGTGTTTCTGTTTTGTTCTGCCAATTGAAGGCTTTATCAGCATCTAATCATGAAATTGATTAGATTTGATTTCTATGTTATTTGAGATTTTTAGAATTTTATGATAGGTTTTATTAAAATTTGATTTGGAAAGAATTAAATTAGAATAATGATCCCACTTAGTTATCTTTAACTCCAATTAATTAATTTCCCTAACCAAGTCTATATAAGGCTTATATCTCACTTTGAATCACCTCC